ACTTGCTTGTATGCACATGGGGAATGTGAGTCCATCAAAGTTACTGTTTAACATGGGGGTGTAGAGTGTAGCAGTCATTAGGGTTCCTGGAATGTGGTGTTGGACTATATGGCTTTTCTTTACTATTTTACACATGGTGTTGTATAGCCCTTTCTCTGTTCAGTGTATCTAATATTTATATGGGCTCATTCTTTTGTCTGTTAAGTGGCAGTGCTTGAATTCTCATAGGGCATGATTAGTTGGAAACTGGAACTTTCAGAATATGTTTTTTTTAATTTTTTGTTTATTTTTATTGGAGAGTAATTGCTTTACAATGTTGTGTTCGTTTCTGTTGTACAACAGTGTCAATCAGCTATAAGTATACATATATATATATGGGGCTATACACACACACACACACACACACACGTATCTCCCCTCTCTTGGGCCTCCCTTCCACACTCCTGTCCCACCCATCTAGGTCATCACAGAGCCCAGAGCTCCAAGCCAAGCTCCCTGTCTTATATAGCAAGTTCCCACTAGCTGTCTCTTTTACACATGGTAGTGTATATATGTCACTGCTACTCTCTCAGTTCATCCCACCCTCTCCTTCCTTCGCTGTTTTTTAGATGCCAACTATTCTTTAACTCTGAAGATGGTGAAATCTAATTATTATTACTGCCTTTTAGCACCAGAGTCAGGTTATAAAGGGTTTTACCATGTTCAAATAAAATCTGATTTTATTACCCTCTTAACATTTGAACAGTCTTTACGTTAGTCTTATTTTCAGCTAGGAAAACCAAAGCTTTTGTGGTACTGTCTGGCCTTTAAAAAAATGAATCAGAGTTTAAAGAGTTGCATAGTATTAATGATTTGATATGGGACCTCCCAGGTAGCACTAGTGCTAAAGAAACCCACCTGCCAGTTCAGGAGACATAAAAGACATGGGTTCGATCCCTGGGTTGGGAAGGTCCCCTGGAGGAGGGCGTAGCAACCCACTCCAGTATTCTTGCCTGGAGAATCCCATGGACAGAGGAGCCTGGTGGGCTGCAGTCCATGGGGTTAAAAAGAATTGGACACAATTGAAGTGACTTAGCACGCAGGCACACAGTGATTTGATATAAAGCCCAGTTCTTTCTTGTCTTCTGAGAATCTCCAGAAGAAACCCTTTGAGAACCAATGGCAGTGTCACTTTACGCTGGATTAGTATTTCTGATTTTTAGTCTCTTGGCCAACCCTAATGTTTTTCAATCAGAATTCAGCTTCAAAAGGACATAATCATGACTAAGTAGATAGTTTTACATGGCAGGATTGCTCAACCTGCTGAAACTTAATAGTGCTCGGAAAATACATAAATTCTTAATACCTGAATATGATAATTGGAGTTGCATTTGTTAATACAGACCATTTTAATTCAGCATACACTCTGACTCACATGCTCTCTTCCTCCTTCAAACTACCCCTTGTAAAACTACAGCTGCGGGATTTTGGAGGGGAGGGGAAAGCCATAGGTGAAGACAGCTGGATCATGGCCTTGGCCTTTGTGACTTTTTATTTTCATTCTTTCACTACTGAGAAAAGATGAGGCAGGCACATTTCAAAAGAACAGCTGACACTACCCATACCAAGTCAGTGATTACATCAGTCACTCTAATTCTTTGGTGTTTATGGGTCTTCTTTTCCATGTATGTGGCAGAGATCCAGTTTGTTAGGAGCGGGTAAGAACTGGGTGAGTATAGATTGGGACCATGCCAGAAAGTGGGTCCTCACCCTGTTTCCCCTGTCTTCTCGGTGAGCTGGGCCAGTCTGTAGGTTCTTATTTGGCCGAAGAAGGATAACTTTTAGTGCATACTGCTGAATTATACTGTGACTAGCGAGAGCCATGTTGTCTTTAGGCTTGACCATGCTGCTGCACAGCGCATGCCTGTTTATTGCACTGTCTGGAGACGGGGAGTTAACAGTGCAGTTTGCGATTGTGAGGTTGTGGAAATCTTTTTGGTAACATGCTGCTACTGCCTGGGAAGGAGAATCTAGCAGATTAATAAAAAGTGTATAATTTGTTTGGCTAATATGTTACTTTTTATACATAAGGAAATTTAAACTTGGAAAAAGGTATTTACTGGTTCTGTAGGTGGGACCGTCAACTGGTCTTTTGAACTGTAGATACTTAAAGTTTTGTTTCATTTTTGTTTGTTTGATTTTGGGGGTCACTCAGAAGCTGTTTAAGGCATAAAGGACTAAGATAAAACTTTTAAGTTATTTGCAATGAATCAGCATTATTCTAATGTTTGGGTTTTTTTTTTAACTTTTTGTTTTGTATTGGAGTATAGCCAATTGACAATGTTGTGATGGCTTCAGGTGGGCAGCAAAAGTACTTAGCCGTGCATATACAGGCATCCATTTCCCCCAAACTCCCTTCCATCCAGGCTGCCTCTTAACATTGAGCAGGCATAGTTAGGGAGCTTGGGATGGACATGTATACACTGCTGTATTTTAAATGGATAACCAGGTTCCATTGGGAGCCCTGTATTCTGATATCTGGAATGAGGTGGCAGACTTGTCCAGCTTCTGTACAGTCTATGCGAAACAGCAACTCATGCCCAGACATTCCAGATCACAAATGTTTCTGTCAGAATTGTTTGAATTCAGGTGTCTGCCTAAGGAAGAAAATGAGAAGAAGTTGGATAGTATGTGTCAATGATAACTTCTTCATTTAGGCAGTATCTTTGGTAAAGAACCCACCTACAATGCAGGAGACCCCAGTTCGATTCCTGGATCAGGAAGATCTGCTGGAGAAGGGAGAGCTACTCACCCCAATATTCTTGGGCTTCCCTTGTGGCTCAGCTGGTAAAGAATCTGCCTGCAATGCAGGAGCCCTGGGTTCGATCTCTGAGTTGGGAAGATCCCCTGGAGAAGGGAAAGGCTACCCACTCCAATATTCTGGCCTGGAGAGTTCCATGGGGTTGCAGAGTTGGACACGACTGAGCAGCTTTCACTTTCACTTGTGGGCATGTGGAAATGTTTTGAACCTTCCGTTTTCTGATCATTATTTCATGGCATCACAGTGGCATTGAGAGATTGGTGTCTTCACGTGGTCACAGTTATTTAAATTGGTGTTGGTCAAAGTGCAGGATGAGTTCCAGTAACCTTTTGTTTCTGATGTAATCAGTGAATCATGAAATCAATGGACAGGGGAATCATGGCTAACTTGTTTTTCATTAACGAAGTAGAATATAATAAAATTAATTTTGCTCCTCGTTCTTCAAACTTAACATCCTTGTATTATCTAGGAGCTTGTTAGAAATAGAGAATTGAAGGTCCCACCCAGACCTACCTACCCTGTCATAATATGCATTCATTGTCACTGTAACTAAACCTCAGAATTAATGTTTACAAAACATTGAAATGGAAATAGTTAAGTTGATTACGAACAAAATCCCTCATATTCATTAAATTATTTCAGTTTGTTGTGTTCAAGTACATATGAGCTTATACTTCAGTACATTTATCCCTTGGTATCTGAGGGGGATCGGTTCCCACTCTGTACTGAAATCTGTGGATGGTCAAGTTCCTTATATGAAATGGCCTAGTATTTGCATAACCTACACACGTCTATGCATATGCTTTAAATCTTTTCTAAGTTGTAAATAGTTGCTGGTGCGTAGTAAGTTTTACCTTTTGGAACTTCCTGGAATTTTTTTTCCTGAATATTTTTGATCTGCGGTTGGTTGTAGATATGGGCCCTCTGGATATGGAGGGCCAACTGCATATTTCCATGGGTCACGGTCAAAACAATTTTGAAATGCATTGTTTTAGATGTGAGTGATGAAATCACATCTCTGATTGTGGTCTTATCATGAACTGTGGGAGAGATTTCCTTGCTTTGTATTTGAATCATCTGTCAAGTTTTCTTTTCTAATATGTCTGTCTTCCAATTCAGTTTCCTCTAATATTAATAGTCTCTTGCTTTTCTGTTCTCTTCTTCGTATCTTCTGCACTTCAGTCCTCAGAACTGTACTCAGTGTTGTGTGGCCACTTCACTGGGAGATTGATGCTAATTAGCATGAGTTTTCTTTTTTAATGTTCTTGGCACCAAAGTTGAAGAAGAGAATTACCAAGTTATGCAGTGCTCTTTCTTCCTCAGTTTGTTATGTCTTCCTTCCAAATGTTAGATGCAACAACAGTATTTTGTTCTGGATATAATTAAGTCAGTCTTCTTTCTGTGCAAGTATGCATAGCATGTCCTAAATGCTATGAACAGAATATTAAGAAGAAATATGTAACATGGAAGTCTGCCTTTGTATCCCCAGCTATATTTAAAACAAGCAATTATGGCTTTAGTTTCCTGTATTCCAACCTAGCCTGGTATAGGCCAGATAGGGGAAGCTAACCTCTTCTGTCATTATTAAGAGAAATGCTGATTTCCTGGAATGTGGCCCTAAAATGGAAGTAAATCATACCACAGACTTGTATTTAGTGTTAGTTCCTTTGACCAGCAGTATGCAGTACAACTTACTGTAATTAAGCAGCTTAGAAAATACGTTACTTTCTGTGGCTCTGAGACAACTGGTGATCAGCAACAATGCTTATCAAATTTTTATCAAGTCCTCTTTCACTAGTGTTAAACATTTCGTGTCGCACAACCACACATGTGTTGCTACTGGTTCCACTCTTTTCTCCATCCAGTTATTCCATTTAACTTGTACTTTGTTTTAAAGGGCCTCTGAAGTAAATTTTATTTTACCTTAGGAACCCTACAGGGGTGCTCCAGAAAAGGGGGAGAAACAGAGCATTTTGCAATCTGTAACCTTATGAAAATGAAGGGACTTGTTACTACACATCCTTCTGCGCAACGGTTATATCAGACTTGTTAGTATTGACAGCAGAATTGCAAACGATTACTAATTTTTTTTAAGCTATTTTATCCATACTCTTTAACAGTATGATCAACATGTATTTGTTAATATTAAATGAATTTTCCTCTAATATTTTTTGTGCATTTTCCCCCCTTTTCCATGAAGGCCTTATCTGTTTGGAGCGGGGTGTTTTTCCATAAAAGCTCCATGGTGAGTCTCAGTTCAGTCCCGCATGCCTAATTCATTTGCTGTACTCTCCAAAAGTGACTCTGTTTTGTACTTTGTCTTCAGTTGCATGGCCTGATCACAGATAGATGCATCGAATTACTGAGTCATTGGTAGATGTTTGTATTTAAGCTTGAAAAGATTAGTTTTCTTGGTTTCATTTCATTTCTTGAAAATTCACATTAAAAAAAATCATAGAATAATATTTTTTAAAAAGGAAAGGCGAAGAATTCTCTCATAATAATTCTGGTATATAAGACATGGCCAACACCCACATTTAAAGCTTTTAGTATTATAGTGCTAGAAGATAGAAACTCCCTGTATGACATGCTGAACTTCTGAAGACATGATTTATATTGAAATATAAAATATATTTAAGTTATACCAAAAATGCCCTATAAATTTTTACTGCATTTTATTTGGTACCAAAGGAAAAAGAGTCAGTTCTGTTTTGAATAGTTGAGGCAGTTAAGGATCTACATGGGGAAATTTGGGTTTTACATACCAACTCCTAAATTCCTTAATAACATTTTGAGTTATTAACACCTACCCACTATAACTCATTTACATTCTTATGTAAGAGTGCATAAAATATATAACTTTGTCAGTCTTAGCATGATGATCATAGAAAAGAAACTATTTAATACTTTTATGTAAAGATGTGCAATAGAATGTATTTAGAGCTTGGTGTAATATGTTTAACAAAATAGTTAGAGTCAGAGCTCCAGAATCAGACTGTCTAGGTCTTAAATTCCAGGTCACACACTTACTACCTATATGATCTTGGGCAGTTTTCTAAAGCCTGTCTATGTCTTGGTTTCCTTGTTTCTATTAGAATTACCAGTAGCACCTACCTTATAGGTTCATTATGACGATTCAATGAACCAATGTATAAATTACTTAGAGCAGTGCCTGGCACATAATAAGAGCTCAGTAAATGTTACGTGCCATGCTATGATTTCTTTTCTGGTTTAAGGGGGAAATTCAAGTTTTGAGAAGAAGCTTCTTTAAGTTAGATCATGGTTTTGTTGTTTTGTTTTGCTTCTAAGAATGAGTGAGCCCAAGAGACATTTTGGTTAATGTAATTTATATCAATTTTATAAATTTAGTCAGAATACATGTATGTGCAATTCTTATAACTGCTTCTGAGACTTGTTTATACTGTCTTATGGTCCTAGGGAAAAGTCTTAGTCTTTTTTCCTCTTGGATAAAAAGAAACTTAAATAATTTGACACAAACTAATTTCAGTGTTCATACGCTAATAGGAATATCTGAAAATTTCATTATTGTATTAGAATAGGGTGATAAATCATCATAAAGATTTCCTCTTTAAAATGCAGTATCAAAATTAGTACACAGATTGTGAAACTGTGATAAGCAAATTCAGGGTATACATGAGTAAAAATTCCCTGAAAGTCAATCTTCATTCTTTGTGTTAACTAGATTTTCTTCCAAAAACAAATACGCTACATGGATCTTACTCAGGAGCTTGTAGCAAACAGTGGAGTTTTAAATGCCAGATTCAACATTTGACAAGATTTCTTTGTAGACTCAATTTAGAGTTGAATTCCATCTCGGGGTAAATTTCTCATTTTAAGTACAAAGAAAAGAGCTTTAGTATGTTAATAAAGTTTGAAGTTTTAGCGTAGACATAAAGATGGAATGACAAATGTTGTATGTGAAATAAGAAAAGCCCATGCCTTCAACAGCTTATGTGCTCCTCAAATTTAAGCAAAAGCACTTGTCAACCAGAAATGATTTGAGGTTGAAACAAGATTAAAAGAGCCAGATTAAAGAAAGGGATATATGAAATATAGTAGACTTTTAAATCATTGCCTGTCTTTTAGAAGACTGCTTTGTGGTTTGTTTGATGCTATCGTTAGCTAGCAAGAAACTCGTTTTTAGTCACTTGTACTAGCCTAAAAGATCCTCCTTTAAAATACATCTCTTTACTGGTGGTGCATGTTTTTCCCATTAAGATCTTAATGAAACCTCAAATTAAGGCAGCAAAATGAATATAAATTTGACAACTTCTTCCATGTTGTTTATAAAAAGCTTCTTTGTTTTAAGAGGTTTTACTATTTTTCCATGTTGTTTAGCGTTCAACCTGAGAATGTTTTTATTTACCGTTTTGGAATAAATATTATGTTACGTAAAGTTATTTCTTTATTTCATCAAATTTTTAGGACTTTCAGTATAGGGTAGGATTTGTATTTTGGAAGAATATGAAACTTTTGTAGTTCCTCTTAAAATGTTATATAAATTTCATACAAATTATTTTATTATTTTTATCAAAAGCTGAGATTTTGCTTTTGATCGATCACAATTTCTGCTAATTTCTCCATTCTTTGATAAACTGTTTTAATTGTTGAAATACATGTGGTTTCAGATGAGTCAGTTTATAATAATTTCTTTTCCTTTGACAACCAAATAAGCTTGTTGGAAGGTTAACTATGCAGACCAACTTCAACACCTTAGCCATTTTATACATTCTGAAGATTATGTATTTTCTAGGATTTTGGAATTTAAATGATGGTATAAATGATGTAGAAGAATCACACACATGATATACTTTTTAAATGCAGAAAATTTAAGAGAAATACAGTGAAATTTTAAAAATGGATTTTGCTTTCACTATTACAAATAAGTAATAAGTTGTTATGGAGTTCCTAATCTGCATTTAGTAAACTTTCCTATTTTTTGAATTTCTTACCGAAAGAAAAAATATATGCACAACAGTGTAGACAAAAGGTAGTTCATTTGAATATATCTTTATAGTATATAAGGTTAATTTTAAAGAAGAGTTAAAATTTCCATATCAAAGTATATTTAAAGTTTTAATTAGTGCCAAGTTTTCAATCTGTTTATAAATAGTTAATTTAAGCTAATCTAGTTATTCTGACACTACTGAAAAAAATATAAATTCATTTTCAGAAGGAAAGATTTATATGGAGAGGAGAATCTTATCTGCCAGGTTCAGAGAAAATCTCTTAGATCTTTAAGAAAGATACCTGGTTAATATCTTTTTAAAAACTAAAGTACTTTCATTTTCCTTATTAGTTTTTCTATTTTCGAAAATAAAGCTGAGAGTGAGGGAGACTTCTAAATTCCTTTTGAAAGCCTAATCACAGTGAGGAATATAAAGAAAAGCTTTTTCTCTTTAACACAAGGTATAACACCACTTGTAATTCTTACATGAATATTGTCTAAGATTTGAACTGAAGTATTGACTGTACCCTTGTGATTTAGGGAATGAAAGAAACGGTGCTTCTATCTCAGCTTAGCCCTTTTCCATGCTTGTGTCCTAAATAAGGCCCCAGACCTCATTGTTGCTGTTCATGCCATCCACAGATTTACCACTTATATCCTATTTTATAGAACATAGAAAATTATCCAGATGCACATAATTTTGCTATAACTTTAAAGCCTATATCATTAGAGTCTTGCTTTTTTTTCTTGGTCTGTCTGTGGTTAGAGTGTGGAGAAAAAAACAAGCAGAGAAATTTAATATGTTTATCTGATTGAATTACATAATACAGAAGGAGCCAATGGGTAACTTCAATAGTCTTTGTAAATATTTTTAAAGATGTCATCATGTTAATGTCCCTAGAACATCTGATGGCATTAAAAATGATTCTCATTCTGTGGTTAGATGGTTAGGTCTCCCAGAATAAATGACGAAATGTTAAAATCCTGTGTTTCAATTTAGCACCTTATTTGGTTTTTTTTTTTTATCATATATTACTTTTGGTTACGTTGTCTCGTGTATTAAGTTTTGTAAATGTGATGTTTTCTGATATGGTGAAGGTTGAATTCATTCTGTAGTCCGTTATGTTTTGCTCACAAGTGAAGGCAAATTTTTCTTTTAATTTTTGACCTTGGAATTATTTATGGCACAGGAGAGTATAGTGCAGGAGTTGTTAATGGATAGGAGTCCCCCAGCTCTATCAGTATGTTTTGTATTCATTTGTAACGATGACATTTTTTTTTCTATCAACTACTAATTGAGTAAATTAGTTAAACAGTGAGAGGCGTTTGTTTTAAACTTGCAGATGTCTTGTAAAAAAAATTTTTAAGTCTCTTTCAGAAGATAAAGGGAGATAGATATTGAGAAGAGGAAAGAAAAGAAGGCTAATATTGGAGTGCTTTTCTAAAATGGTTGGAACACCAGTCTATAAATACGCATGAGTTACAAGGCTAGCACTTTTCTGTTTTATTCTTTTCACATATGTATCATTTTTCAATATTTTATCTTTCTGCCAACAAAAGGTGATTTTGCAATAGAAATATTCTGGGTCACTGGGAAAAGTTCAATTCTGCTTCCACCCAATATTCCACCTGGTCTTGGTTTTTAAAGTTTTAGGATAAAAGGGAAATTAAATCAATGTTAAATTTTCTTCCTTTGGATATTTCATATAGAAAATACTTTATTAATAATAATATTTGCTTTAGATTATATCTCTTTTCTGTTTTTCTGAAAATCTTGTACACATATACTACACATATTTAAATTTTCTATTTTGCTTAAATGCCATAGTCATTCCAAAGGTCGATTGATGATAGAACTAACTTGTTATGACTATGTTCACCAAATATGCTAAGTACCCAATACATGGCATTGTGTCATGCAGGAGGTGGCAAGTTATTTTCAGGGAAAAAAACTTTTAATATTAAACACAAACTTTTACTAATGTGATTTATGAAGGCCCTATCAGAAGAATAAGAAGAAATGATGAAATATAAGAATAGAAATGATAATTTTTTCATAATTTTAAGAATATTTCTAACATAAGGTACTTATTCTCTTCAGGAAATAATGAGTTTAAGTAAAATGATACTATATTGATGCATTTTAATCATGTGTTCAGAAACTGAGTTATGTATAACATTAAAGAAGTCTGAGACTTCAGCTTTTGACGTTGAATAATTAGACTGTAAGCCAGTAGACATACATAATATATATTTGCTTGACTAAAGACTAAATTGATTATTATATTACAAAAGTAGCCAACTGGCCCAGTAGCAACTTTTAAAATCTATTTAGGATACATAGCTTCGATGCACCATGGACTCTCTTAAGAAGTGGCAACCATAAAGTAAGAAAATTTCTTTAAAAAAAAAAAAAAAAAAAAGAAGTGGCATGCTTCTTGTTTTCTGTCTTGTTGCTTCAGTTCAGTTCAGTCGCTCAGTCGTGTCCAGCTCTTTGCGACCCCATGGACTGCATCACGCCAGGCCTCCCTGTCCATCACCAACTCCTGGAGTTTCCTCAAACTCATGTCCATTGAGTCGGTGATGCCATCCAACCATCTCATTCTCTGTCATCCCCTTCTCCTCCCTCCTTCAATCTTTCCCAGCATCAGGGTGTTTTCAAATGAGTCAGCTCTTCACATCAGGTGGCCAAAGTATTGGAGTGTCAGCTTCACTCCTGTTGCTTACCACATGATTTAAACATGTGGTATTGGAGTTTCAGCTTCAGTATTGGAGTTTCAGCTTCAATCTTGTTGCTTACTACATGATTTAAACAACAAAAATAACTTTCAGGAATTTGCAAAGAACTTTGAATTTGTACATTTTGTACTGTCATTGCTCCTTGATGGTGATTCTAGTAAAAACTTAGTCATACAGTTGACTAATTTTCAAAATTTTCAAAAAAATTCTGGAATCTTTTTCCCCCCTCTCCTCAGCCTTCCAGCCTCCAGAAACTAACCAATGGAAGTTAAAAGATGCTATTTAATAGTTACAAGAACTTACAGCTCCCTGATAGCAGTTCAGTAAGAAACAAGGGCTCCTTGGTAAAGAATCCACCTGCCAATGCAGGAGACAGAGGAGACATGGGTTTGATCCCTGGGTCAGGATGGTCCCCTGGAGGAGGAAATGGCAACCCACCCCAGTATTCTTGCTGGGAAAATCCAAGTCCATGGGGTTGCAAAGAATCGGACATGACTGAGCACACACACAATGGAAATAAAGACTATGAAGGAACCTTACGAATAGCTGAGAAAAGAAGAGAAGCGAAAGGCAGAGGTGAAAGGGAAAGAAATACCGAATTGAATGTAGAATTCCAGAGAATAGCAAGGAGAGACAAGAAAGCCTTCTTAAATGAACAATGCAAAGAAATAGAGGAAAATAGTAGAATGGAAAGACTAGAGATCGCTTCAAGAAAATTGAAGATACCACAGGAACATTTCATGCAAAGAAGAGCACAATAAAAAACACAAATAGTAAGACCTAACAGAAGCAGAAGAGATGGCAGGGGCACACAGAAGAGCTGTACAAAGAAGGTCTTAACAACCTGGATAACCATGATGGTGTGGTCACTCACATCCTGGAGTGTAATGTCAAGTGGGCCTTAGGAAGCATTACTGTGAACAAAGCTGGTGGAGATGATGGAATTCCCACTGAGCTATTTAAAGTCCTGAAAGATGTTGCTGTGAAAGTGCTGCACTCAACATACCAGCAAATTTGGGAAACTCAGCAGTGGCCACAGGTCTGGAAGAAAGTCAGTTTTCATTCTAGTCCCAAAGAAGGGCAATGCCAAAGAATGTTCAAACTACCGTACAGTTGAGCTCATTTCACATGCTAGCAAGGTAATGCTCAATATCCTTCAAGCCAGGCTTCAACAGTATGTGAACCAAGAACTTCCACATATGTCAGCTGGATTTAGGAAAGGCAGAGGAACCAGAGAGAAAATTGCGAACGTCCGTTGGATCATAGAAAAAGCAAGAGAGTTCCAGAGAAACATCTACTTCTTCATTGACTACATGAAAACCTTTGAGTGTGTAGATCACAACAAACTGTGGAAAATTCTTAAAGAGTTGGGAATACCAAACCACCTTACCTGCCTCCTAAGAGGCCTGTATGTAGGTCAAGAAGCAACAGTTAGAACTGGACATGGAACAAAGGGCTGGTTCAAAATTGGAAAAGTACCTCAAGGCTGTATACTGTCACCTTGCTTGTTTAACTTATATGCACAGTAAGCACATCATGCAAAATGCCAGGCTGGATAAATCACAAACTTGGAATCAAGATTGCAGGGAGAAATATCAACAACCTTTGATATGCGGATGATACTACCTGATGGCAGAAAGCAAAGAGGAACTAAAGCACCGAGGAGCTCAAGTGCTTCTTGATGAGGGTGAAAGAGGAGAGTGAAAAATTTGGCTTAAAACTCAGCTTTCAAAAAAACTAAGAGTATTCAGTCCCATCAATTCATGGCAAATAGATGGGGAAAAAGTGGAAGCAGTGACAGATTTTATTTTGGGGGGCTCCAAAATCACTGCAGGTGGTGTCTGCAGCCATGGAATTAAAAGATACTTCCTCCTTGGAAGAAAAGTTATGACAACCCTAGGCAGCATTTTAAAAAGCAGAGGCATCGCTTTGCTGACAAAGGTCCATGTAGTTAAAGTTATGGTTTTTTAAAAATAAATAAATAAATAAATAAATAAAATACAGTTATGGTTTTCCCAGTAATCATGTATGGATATGAGAGTTAGAGCACAAAGAAGGCTGAGCACCGAAGAATTGATGCTTTCAAATTATGGTGCTGGAGGAGACTCTTGAGAGTCCCTTGGATTTCAGGGAGGTCAGACCAGTCAGTCCTAAAGGAAATCAACCCTGAGTACTCATTGGAAGGACTGATGCTGAAGCTGAAGCTCCAGTACTTTGGCCACCTGATGTGAAGATCCAACTCATTGGAAAAGATCCTATGCTGGGAAAGATTGAAGGCTAAAGGAGAAGAGGGTGGCAGACCATGAGGTGGTTATATAGTATCACCAACTCAGTGGACATGAATTGAGCCCACTCCAGGAGACAGTGAAGGACAGAGGCTTGGCATGCTGCAGTCCATGGGGTCACAAAGAGTTAGACACGACCGAGCAACTTAACAGCAACAGTAACGTTGCAGCTGTGGCAAATGCAGCAAAGATATGAAATTGTTGGTGGAAACATTCATTTTATCACAGAATCTTGACACACACACAGAGCTATTATTTTATGCCCTGTCAGTGGAAGTCTTTGGTGTTTTAGGCAGGGATGTGATTTTTATGGGTAATAACTTGGAGTGTTTAGAAAATGTTAATGTTGGAAAGAAGAGGGCTTTTCATATATGACAAGGTGCCTCGTATGGATTTTGTCAAAGGCAGACACCAAAAGAACCAAGCAGAATGGCTTCTGATCCGGACATTTTGCTCTTCCTACCAGGAAGACATCAAAACAGAGGGCTCAGGAAATCAGATATGTGAGATGTTGTTTCAGATGTCATAACACCTGGAAACTGAGATTACAAAACTGAAGTCTGATCTTTTAAAAACTTAGTTGAAAACTGTGTGCTATACGGGAGATAGTTAGCGTTAAGAACTAAGATATGGGAAGACTCTGCCCTGATGCTTTCTGCACATTACACAATCAGGGGTTCTTAAACCTGAGCAGTTGCCAGAATCTCCTGGAGGGTTTGTTAAAACAGATTGTCAGAGTGGGACATGGCTTGAAGATTATTTGCATGTCTAAGAACTTCTCAGTGTCAGGGTCCACACTTTGAGAACATGTGTAATATGGTGATCCTTAAAATAACCTTACAAGGTAGGCATTACCATCATTTTGTTTTATATATTAGTTGCTTGAGCTCTGAGAGGTTAAGTAACTTAAGTGAAATTCACACAGGTGCTTTTGTACCTGGGATTCAGATTCATGTTTTTACCTGACCCCCCAAACCCAATCTTTCTCCATCTAACCTTGCTTCATTAAAAGACAAAGAGATAAAGGATAATGAGCAAAGGAAAGTAGAAATAATGTCATTTGACATTGGAGACTGGTGCCTGGTGAAATTGCTAAGGAACTTTGGGGCAGACTGTAGAGAGGCGATACAGGATGGAAAGAAGGCAATAGGTTGTTATCAGAAGTTGATTGTACTAGAAGCTGGAAGCGGATTTGGGGAAAACGGAGGAAAGCTTGTACTTTTCTATGGTAGTTGCCTGAAGTAGCAGAAGTTACTTAATGCATTCTTAAACATTAGAAGAAACAGAACAAAAATAGACCTCTTTTCACAAATCCACAAAGAAAAAGTAAGAATAGGAAGATAAGTGATTATAATTGCATTAGATCATTAGATCTCCTCCCCAGACGTTGCCTAACCATACACCGCATGCGGCTGTGAGCATTGTCAGAGTTCCATTCTGTATCATCTCGTGTTTTCATACATGCTGTCTCCACTCAACTGTATTGTCAGTCTCATGTTTTATATTTAAGATGAAATGATAAGCTATTCTATTGTTATGAGAAGTTTATGCTGGTTTTATTGTTCCACTCTGAAATATCCAGGGAAATATTACCCACTTCAAATAAGTTGACTTGGATTTTAGCAGCACATTCTTCAAAACGAAGTCAATTCTTCTTGGTCTTATAAGTTGCTATTCTGATAATACCCTGGAACTTTGAACTAGTTTTGCTGCCGATCACAGTCTCACAACCTCCAGTTCTCCTTAAGGCAAAATGCATGTCTACGTAGGGCAGAATTTTAAGGGAAATATGTCATTATCTTGAGGACTGTGATTTCATCTTGGTAATTTTTTTTCTATCATTTTATCTTTTAAGCAAAGTTAAACCACCTCCACAAATTTCACCAAGCAAATCAGTGGGCGGAGAATTTTGTGTGGCAGCAACGTTTGGGACATCCCGATCGTGGTTTGCAAATAATGCAGGTCTGAAAAGAGAAAAAGGTATGTGTTTTTACTGAAGTTAAACTTACCATATGTAATTTGTGTTTCTTGAAGAAAACTCATAGTAGTTCTCTTTGAATAAGCTTCAGCCCAATAATAGAGTTTTCCCCCCACTCAGTTAACATTGTCTTTCCTAAACCACTCAAGTCTTGTCAACAGGAAAGGCTGTCCTCTCATTATAAATGTGATATAAATTGCCCACTGAGTGTTTTTATTTTGTTTTGCTGGTGACAATACACAGGTGCCCTCAAAGTTGTCAGTCCCATATCATTATATGTAGCTTTTACATTCTTCTCAAACAATTTTCATGCCATTGTCTATGAAGTGTAGAGAGGAAAAATGCTGTTATGCCTATTTTAGAGATGAAGAATTTGAGTTTAGTGAGTTTAAGTAATTTAGCTGAAAATGCTAGTTAGTAGGCAATGGTATCAGTTTGAATCCAGGTTTTCTGATACATCTCTAAGAATAATCAACAACGGCTCTGCCATGTTATAAATTAAGATATAAAAGCAGGCTCCCACTCAGAAATAAGAATCATCTTTTATGGTAACCAGTGTCCCTTTGAACTTATATAGTATTGTTTTTTTAAATCCCTTCTTTGACCACCAGAATCAGCTTACAGAAATACTGTTTATGATCCCTTATTGTTCTTATGTAGAAAAGAGTGCCTACTTTCCTGGACCAAGTGTTTCATTTTGAAAGTTAAAAATTTCCTCTTATTATTGTGGTCCTATTGAAGTAGGTCAGAAACTGAATTGTTAGTGAAGCCCTCTTCTGATGAGTTCCACAGGCTGTATTGTTCTTGGCAAAACGGCTGTCCTTGACGCTTGATACTGGCAGTCAGACATCAGCTCTTTCCCTCGTTATCGCCTTTCCGTGGCCCTTTCCTTGGAAATAGGATCCCAGGCACAGCAGGCTCTTTACCTAAGTGGGCGAGGATACAGTGGAGTAGGCAAGCCTTCCATTTTCTTATCCCATTTTTATTTTTTTGTTACTTCCTTTGCTTTAATGATGCTATCGAAATGACTTTTTGTTGCTAGTTAAACCCTCTGTGAAGCTCCATTTCAAATGCTTCTCGCTTCTGTTCTGATTACCCTTTTAGCTTGCTACTCCTTTGTGTCCCACTGACTGGTCATTGGCCATGTTCTCAAATCAGCTGTAATTGAGTCCTTTGGCAGAGAGATAAGGTGACCCACCCAGCACTCATGAGGGATTTTATGTGCTCCCAGGTTTACTGTAAAACCCAAGATAGAGGACTAAACCTGTCTTGGTAATGAGGACATGTGTACTTGTTATAAAGTCATTTGATTAGATCCATACTCAGCACCTGACCTCAAAGCATGACTGCTCTTCGTTTACTGTGGGTGCCAGTGAGCCCACCTAGAGCAACGAAGGGAGAAGCTTTGGGGGAGGAGGACTTGCTCCTGTTTTTCATTGTTTGTTTGTTTTAATCCAGAAATTTAAAGGAGAAACTTTTCTGAGAGGGAGTATGTGAGAAGTTCGGCTGATTCAGACAGACAGTCTCTCACGCAGTTGAGTTGGTACCTCTGATATAGCTAAATCTTAGTCCCTACAGGGTTCCTTTTCTGTCAGTCCTCCCCTCTCTCACCTGGTATTCATTTTGCATGTTGTGGGACAAATTACTATACTGTAGGCAAATGCAAAAGATTGTATAATATTGTTTCAGCATACTAGAATTTTGAATATATTTGTGTCATTCTTGAAATAAATTGCTTAAAGATTTAAAAATGTTTTGATAGCAAAGACCTTTTCATGTTCATTGTTGTTGTTGTGCTCAGATGCTAAGTCATATCTGACTCTTTGAGACCCCATGGACTGTAGTAGCCCACCAGGCTTCTCTCCATGGGATTTGCCAGGCAAGAATACTGGAGTGGGTTGCCATTTCCACCTCCAGGGGATCTTCCTGACCCAGGTATCGAACCTGCATCTCCTGCGTCTCTTGCATTGCAGACGTATTCTTTACCTGCTGAGTCATCGAAGAAGCCCTTCATATTTATTAGCATCTACTTATAAGAGATAACCTTTAGACAAGGAGCGGGCACCATGTGAAAAAGTTTCTGCCTTCTTACTTTCGCAGCCAGCCTCAGGAACAGATTGAAGGGTCAGTGACTTGTAAAAATGAAGCTCTTGTCCTTTTATGCCGTTATCGCATGTCCAGCGTCTGTTTTTCTGTTTGTAGATCAGTCCAAACAGGTGGTGGTTGAGTCCCTCTACATCATCAGCTGCTACGGGACTTTAGTGGAGCACGTGATGGAGCCACGGCCTCTGAGCACCGCCCCCAAGGTCAGCGATGACACCCCGCTGGAGATGATGACATCTCCCCGAGCCAGCTGGACTCTGGTCAGGTAGTATCTCTTTTCGTTTTTTATTAAAAAAAACTCAACTTTGTTGAGGTATAAAAGATTAAAAGTGTACAATTTGATAAGATTTGACGTATGTATACAGCTATGAAACATCACCATGATTAACAGTATAAATACATTGTTGTTTAGTTGCTAAGTCATGTCCAACTCTTCGTGATCCCATGGACGGTAGCCCCGCCAGGCTTCTCTGTCCATGGGTTTCCCAGGCAAGAGTACTGGAGTGGGTTGCCATTTCCTTCTCTAGGGGATCTTCCCGACTCAGGGATCAAACCTGTGTCTCCCATATCTTCTGCATTGCAAGCAGATTCTATTACCACTGTGCTATCTGTGAAGCTCCACATTATGATTATATTCTTACCTCAGATATTCTCTTATGCCTCTTTGTAATCTTTCCTCTTGCCCCTCTTCATTCCTACTTCACCCACTGAGCCCTAGGCAACCACTGGTCTGCTCTCTGTCACTGTAGGTCAGTTTATTAATTTCTAAAATTTTATATAGAATCACAGTGGATACTCTTTTTGTCTTCTTTCTCCCAGCAAAATTATTTTGATTTATCCCTCTTATTATCTAGTCAGAGCTGTGATTTTTCCAGTAGTCACGTATGGATGTGAGAGTTGGATCATAAGGAAGGCTGAGCACCAAAGAATTGATGCTTTTGAACTGTGGTGTTGGAAAAGACTGTTGAGAGTCCCTTGGACTGCAAGGAGATCAAACTAGTCAATCCTAAAGAAAATCAACCCTGAATAGTCACTGGGAAGACTAATGCTGAAACTGAAGCTTCATTACTTTGGCTACATGATGCAAAGAATTGACTCATTGGAAAAGACCCTCATTGCTGGGAAAGATGGACGGCAAGAGAAGAAGGGGGTGACTGAGGATGAGATGGTTGGATGGCATCACGGACTCAATGGACATGAGTTTGAGCAAACTCCGGGAGGTAGTGAAGGACAGGGTAGCCTGGTGTGCTATAGTCCGTGGGATCGCAAAGAGTTGGATGCAACTGAGTGACTGAACAAAAATGCCTCTTGTTGCATTTTTTTATAATTCATTCCTTTTTAAATTGAGATATAATTTATATGTAATGCGTATAAAACAATTCAGTCACCTAAAGTGAATTTTCTCTGGGTTGTGCACCCATCACCGCAGTTAGTTTTTTGGGGGTGGTGGGGTCTTCGTTGCAGCACAAGGGCTTCTCTTGTTCTGGTGCATGGGCCTGGTTGCCCTGCAGCCTGCTGGATCTTAGTTCCCGAACCAGGGATCGAACCCACGTCCCCTGCACTGGAAGATGGATTCTTAACCACTGGAACACCACAGTCAGTTTTCATCACCCTCCAATGAAACCCCGTATCTGTTAGCAATCACTCCCCTCCAACCATTTTTCTTCAACCCTTCAGCCCTAGGCAACACCAGTTTACCTCGTGTCTTTGGATTTGCCTACTCTGGACATTTCATGTAAATGGAATCATACAAAATGTGACCTGTTGCATCTGACTTCCTTCGCTTAGTGCAGTGTTTTTAATGCCCAGCGATGTTAAGCATGTAGTGGAACTTCATTACTTTTTTCATGGCCAAGTGATTTATATGGATATACCACATTTTGTTTATCCATTTATCAGTTGATGGACATTGCCACTGTTTAGCTGTCAAGAATTATGCTCCTAAGAATATTAGCCAAGTAAATAAATGTTAAAATAATAATAATAAATAAAGTGATTCCCCAAGATAAAATGGCTCATCACTGTAAAAATGTTTATTAAAATCAGAGTCCTCCTTGAGAGTACATAGTCATTAGAATTTTTATAATCTAGTGTAAAGAGGGAGAAATAAGATACAGGACAAAACCCAGTCCATATAGTGTATACTGGTACAGGAGAGACAGAAAATTGGTCCTGATGTGTGTGGAAATATTAGTTGCTCAGTTGTGTCTGACTCTGAGACCCCATGGACTGTAGCCTCTCTGTCCATGGGATTACCCAGCAAGAATACTGGAGTGGGTTGCCATCGTCTGCTCCAGGGGATCTTCCTGACCCAGGGATCAAACCTGTGTTTCCTGCATTATAGGCAGATTCTTTACTGCCTGAGCCATCAGGGAAGCTATGTATGGAAGGAAGCAGACAAAAATGGATATGAAAATCATCTCTCTCTTTTTGACATTTAAAAATATTCTTGTATTGATTTTTGGCGGCTCCAGCACTCTTTCCTACTACTTGACTGCACTAGATTGACCTGATCAATATATTATGTGTCAAGCTATTTAGGAGTGGGCAGATCTAATTAAAATTAGTGCACCATCATTGAAATAAGTGGCTTATTTTGGAACTCATGCTAATCAGGTCTTTAATAAGTCTAGCATTAACTGTGTTTTCTTAACCATATTTTCTGCTTTATTTTATTTTAAAATGTAAATATATTCTAAGAATAGAGGGTGCTAACAATTGTCAGAAATTAGGTAAAAATTAGTTGTGGCATTCGAGTTTCACACTTCCTCTCTGTTCAGTGTTTTGAGTGTCTTGTCTATTATGTTGGAGGGTTGTCTGCTATTAAACTTATATTGACTCTATGTAATTTGTATGACTCACTGCCACCTTTTTATTCTTCCTGAGCAGATGGCTTTGTGTTTCAGGTTTTAGCACTCCAGCAAGTTCATTTTAATGATTAAAATGATAGTGTGAGTTTATATCAGTGTCTATAACTGGTGACAGTGATGATTTTATATTCCATCTATTAAGCCTGAATCTTAATAATCTTCTGTTATTTCCTTAGAACTCCTCAATGGAATGAATTGCAGCCACCATTTAACGCAAACCACCCTCTGCTCCTCGCTGCAGATGCAGTGCAGTATTATCAGTTCCTGCTTGCTGGCTGTGAGTAGTTCTTAATTTTTTCCTTCCATACACTATTTTGAGTTTTCATCTTAAAATGCTGACTTTTAATGCAACCATGCATATTACAGTGGTAATATGGCCAGAGGCCATAAACAATCTGATGGAGGCAAGGAAGATATTTAATACAATACCTTATAAGCTTTAGCACACATTAATTGTGCCTCTGGATGTTCATGTTCTCTGGTCATGACATATACCCTTACTTTTATATAAATTGATAGAGAGTATCTGGTGGGTATTCTCAAAATTTTTTTTAAAAAATAAGGATTCTAGGATATAATAAAGTTTCATAAAATTGGAATCTATTTCTGACATAAAAAAAAGTTACACACTTTTTGCTGTGGAAATTGTATTAGCAGGCTTTTTGCTTTGTAGGATTTTTTTTGCAACATTGAAGTAGTGATTGCAGCTCCATAAGGATTTTGTTTACTTTTGATCTGGGTTCTTTTTTTACTTAAGGAGGAGAAAGTATACATTGAACTAGAAACAGCCTTCTTTGTAGGTGAGACCAGAAAAGATAATTTAATATTTATTATCCAGCTTACGGTCATAGAATTAAAAATTCTTTACAATTATAATGCAATTCTGTCAAATTCACTGAATCCTTAATTTAACTGGATGGCTCTGAGTACTGTATGCTTTTAGGAAATTTTCTGTAAATCAACACTGACATGTTTTTAATAGAGTTTTGTTCTGTCAGATTTATTTTCTTGCCTGGTTGTATTATGCAGTATGAAGTAAAAAATTTGTAAAACAGTTTTTATGTTTATAATGTGTTATATGTTATACTAGAAACAGAGGAAGTGTACTGACTTTGCACTAATGTTATGAAGCTCCATAATTGTAACAAATAATTGGTGGTTTCATTTCTCTCACACGATTAAATTCACTGATTCTTCCAGCATGTATTTATTGAATGACATCTCTGTGTCAGTAGCTCGTGGTTTAAATGAGAGTAGTATGTTGCTTCCGTCCTCAGTGAATTCAGTATCTAATTTAGGAGACAGATGTTTTATCAAAACACAGAAGAAAGTGAGACAGGTCATCAGTGAAGGGTTACACATGGAATTGTGAAGGCAATGGCTTAAGTTGCTAAACTGTTTACAGAGGGATAGTAGGTAAGTGGTTTTCTGGTTTAAGAAGCAGAGTATGTAAAAGTTCTTAGGTTCTAGGTTATCTCAGCATATATTTAACTCTATCGTATGACTTGGAAAAAACATATATTGATATATAATGCCAATGTTTATAAGAACATTTTCCCATACCTCTCTACAGAGGTAAAAATAGTTAATTGTTGAATTGAGTATAGTTGACTATTTCAGCATTAATACCAGGTTTCTTTGTTTAGTTATTTTGTGATATACTTTTTATTGATTTGTTTTTAGCTGCACTGGGTCTGCACCGCTGCAGGTGGGCTTTCCCTAGCTGAGATGAGCAGGGGCCACTCTCTATAGCTGTGTGCAGGTTTCTCGTTGCAGCGGCTTCTCTCGTTGCAGAGAGTGGGCTCTAGGGCATGCTGGTGCCCTAGTGGTTGTGGCACATGGAGTCTTCCCAGACCAGGGATTGAACTCATGTTCCCTCATTGGCAGGCAGACATTTTTACCACTGGACCACCAGGAAAGTCCTCTTTAGTTATTTTGACAGGTCTGTTACCGTAGACAAACAGTAGCAAGTTCCAAATATGTAGAAAAAGATATGGGCCAAAAAAAAAAAAAATGCAGCTATCTCTATTCCTTGACTTATTTGTTCCAGTGAGTTAAGCTAACTTTATTTTCAGCTCTAAACACCTTTGTCCAGTTCTTAGAACTACAAAACCCCCCAGGTGCATGGCTGAAGAACCACCACTGTAGCCCAAGCTGTCAGTCGTTTTCAAACATTGCGACAACACCGTGGGAATTTCACCTTAGAAAGAACACCCTGACAGTGTTGTAGAAGAGGTTCAGAAGTAGGGAAGAGGTGTGGCCACTATGTGATACTAGAGCAAGACGGGAGGGTGTTAATTAAGGCTTTTACAGAGAAGAGAGAATAAACCTGTGAGACGTTGCACAGCTGGACTAGAACAAAATCAGGCAATTTGAAAAAGTCACTGGTGATTGTTTGATTTCTGAATAAAATATGTAATATAATGCATGTCATGTTAGATGTTTTGAATTCCAGATGGACTAGCATAGGAAATAAGGATGAAAAGGCCAAGTTTCTAGTTCCAGACCACCTCTCATTAACTTGATAAGTATAAAGTATCAGTAATAATACTTGCTCTTATAAAGGGGTTACTGTGGTCAGTGCAGTGACGCTCAGCATCATTCTGAACCTTTCTCTCTTATTTCAGAAATTAATAAGAAATATTTTCAATTAGTAGGCTTCAGGGACTTAACAATGGAATACCTATTCTGAGTCTGTAATCTTGGCCTTGTTGCCAGATCTGTTGTCTAAGTGACAGACTTCATATGTGTGTCCTGTGCCTCGGTCACATAATTGTTATGTTTCCTCTTATCTAGTGAAATGTTACTATAGATATAACTTAATTTAAAAAACACCTCAGAAATAGGTAATTCTGTAATAATTATTATACTACTTCTTTACATTGGCAGCAGAGACACAGATTTACCTGAATTTTGAAGTCACATTTTCTTACATAAAGAAAGGCTATTGGGGGACATCCCTGGTAGTCCAGGGGTTAAGAACCTGCCTTGCAATTCAGGGAACATAGGTTTGATCCCTGGTTGAGGAAGTAAGATCCCATATGCCGCAGAGCAGCTAAGCCCACACTACCGAAATTACTGAGTCTGCACTTCACAACCATAGTCTGTGTGCTGCAATGAAAGATCTAGAATTTACACAAAGATCCCACCTGCCACAGTGCAGCCGAATAAATTTTTTTTTTTTAAAGAAAAAGGCTATTCGATTGAGAGTCCTGGACAAACTAGTATATTTCATGACTAAAGAAATTAAACATTCAGAACATGGACATCTGCATCAGAGGAGTAAAAGCCAAAATATAATTGGTTAAAGCAATGCTGGAGCCGGTTTAGAGAGAATACCTTTACCTGCCCATCTGTTGAGCCCTTTATGCAGTTTAGAACCTCGTGAAGAAGACTTTCTTACTACCTTCTTGCTTTCTCTCCATTTACCTTACTGAAACCGTTTGAAAAGATGATATTGTACCTGGTGGCAGGAAGTTTTTGTTTTACTTGACCATGTTGAAAATCTGCAGACTATTCATAATGTAGTACTGAAAGTATCTTCAAATATAATCATTTGGAGTAAAACTGTAATGCAAACTTCACTAGTGTCGCCAGCATTTTCTTTGGTTGTGTCTGAATCTGTGGATCAAGTGAAGTAGACTTGTACAAACTCCGGAAGTTGTAATAATACTCAGCAAAGAATGATGTAAATGGAAATGCAAAAGGCACTTTGTTGCAGGGAGAAGAGACTAGGAGAGCAGGATGTTTAGCAAGGAATCCCCACCTCCCCTTCCAGCCCGGTAATCATAACAAGTACACTGCTAGTTGATAAACAAAGTTCTGCGTATGTGGCCTAAGGGTCACTGGTGGGCAGGGAAAGGGAAGCGTGCCTGAACATTAAAGATTTCTTACCTAAATATAGTGAAGTAAGTGAAAACTCCAAATTTTCTATTCCTAACTCTCGTCACGTTTACTACCCATACTAATTGAGTGGAATGATTCAAAATTGAGCAATTTTGATATATGAATTGACTCATATGAGCCTGCCCCTTACAAGGTCACTCTGGAGGTGGAATTTACTTCTTTGTTATTAGGGTGAGCCATACGAAATTGCTGTTTAGAATAAGCCCAAAAAGTCATACGGCTTGAGTAGATTGATTAGTTTATGTGTGTAGAGAAGATATGCAGATGGTAGTCTAATTTTGCTATCTAGCTCAGTGAGAATAAAAGTTAAGAATCTAATATTAAAAAAAAGCTTTGCCTGGGTCATAAGAAATCTTGGGAATTGTTTATAAAAAGATTACAGTAGTGATGATTAGTGATTTTTGTGGTAATAGAATTTTTTTTTCCTTCAGGAAAAATGCATAACTGTAGTTACCTTTTCTAAAATAGACATTTTATTTCAGTGTATTCCTTTGCCAAAAACAAAGACGAGACTAACAGATATCAACCAGCTTTGAATGTGATCCCAAAATAGATAATACTTTTTCTTTAGTCTGTTTCCGAGCTTCCCAAACTGTAAATTAAAAACAGGGTTTACGGAGTTAAACTGGGGAAGTTTTATTTGGGCAGAAAATAATGTTTCCTCCTTTTCTTTCAGGTGATTTGGCAGCAGCAGTATTTTTAAGTTGCTGACATTAACTAGCTTTGCTGGGGATGGGTCAGGCTTTGAACTTCTAAGATAATCCATGGGTATGTGAGAAGTTCCTCCCTAAGTTTACCGAGTTTTCTTTGTTAAATGGTAACAAAGGATCATGCAAAGGAAATATAGCTTTGATATACACTGAAAATGGCTAAGGTGTATATATGGGGTTTTTGTTAATTATTTAACTATCTTTCAAATATAATTGACAAAATATTGACAAAAATTGACAAAACACAAAAATAGTGTGAATGTCCTGTGGTCTTTAAAACACACATGTGTGTGTGACAGCAGTAGTGTAAAAACCAGGAGAGTGGGAAATGGAACTTACTGTTGTAAGGTTTTATTGAATGTGTGACTTCAACATCATTTGGAGGCAAACTATGTTGTTAAAGATGTATGATGAAATAAAAAACAAACCTAAGTGTTGAAAAAAGGAAGTAAAGTGTTAAGAATAAGCAAGTTGATGTAACTCTAAGCAACATCAGTAACTCATGTTAGTTATAAATGGCCTAAATGCTGGACAAGTCAGAGATTGTCAAGTTGGGTCAAAAAATAAAACCCAGTTATATGCTGCTTAGGAGAAACTCACTTTTTTTAATCAATTTTTTTTATTGATATATAGTTGATTTTTATTGACATGTATTTTCTGT